AAACCTTAAAGGTTATTTTATCTCCTTGACAGAATTTTTTGGCAAGGGTAGAAAGCAGATGATCTGCTTTCCAGAAGGAAGGAAGAGTCAGGGCTGGAAGGCAGTTCTTGGCGCCTTATGTGAACTGCTGAAACGCATGAGTGTAAAAAGAGAAGCAATAGTAAAAAGGAAGATAAACAGGTCTAGTAGTGTGGTGAACAAGACTAAGCAAGAGACTCCTTTAGTGTTAGCTGGGGCATGCATTTACAGAATGGGAGTAAACATACAGAGAGGGGATTGGGAAAGTAAATTGATAGTYRAAGCTTCARMTCCCATTCTTGACTGGAGGAAAGYTGCAGATCTGTTAACAGCAAGGTTAAAGTTGAAGAGCACATTTATTTTAACACCCTTTGAGAAGAACAAGGCTTTGTTGGATTTGCTTGAGAACATAGTAGAAGTTGAGGCTTTAAACATCCAAGCTAAGCTTGGAAATTTCACAGTATCAAGATGGTGTCCGGAATCAAACTCCAAAGATTTCTTTGTTGAAGATGGAGTGGTGGTGTGTCTGTTAGGTCTTCCCTTTCATTTGTCGAAGCAAGAAACTGCTAAAGCCATTGCTTTGATGTGTGGAGGATTACTAGGAGGGGCCTTTTGGGGAGACCTTCGTTCAGCTTCCATTTTATTGAATAGAGTAAAACCTGAGGAGATACCTCGGAAGATAGAGGTGCTAGTCGAAAGGCAGTGCTACTCAGTGTGGCTGGTTTCATCCATTGAATCGATGCTTTGGAAAGAGGCTCGTATGGAGGGAGATGGGAAGGTTGAAGAAGAAGAGCTGCGTGGCAAGAAAGGGTTGGAGGATTCAAACAAAAAAAGCACTTTCACTAAATTGGAAAAACATTTGCTGGAGAAACAAAAGGGTACTAGGCAAGGGGTGGGATTTTCGCGTGTGGAAGAAGTGAGCAGTCTGGAGGGTGGCAGGTTCTTTGCACAGGTTGTAACTGGCACCAAGACTGTTCTGAACAGGGAAAAGGGGTTGGGCCAAGGAAGATTTGAACTTGAACCTGTTAGAACCAAACCGGGGTCGGGGCTAGACACGCGTGACCTCCTTAAAAATCACGTGAGCTTGCGGGTGCTTACAAATGGGCCAAAGCAAAAGCCCATCTGGGCTACTAATGGTATTCTTAAAGGCCCAAATAGGCCAGCAGGCCCGACCCAGTTCGTTTATAAGGCGCGTGAGCCACTAAAGAAACATGTGACTGGGGTTTCGACTATGATAGACATCGGTTTTGGTCTATCATCGTCCCCAACCGCGAGCCAAAAGGGGGAATGCGCGCAGCATCGGAAACCAGGAAAGAAGAGGGCGTTACAGTGGGTCTCCCGACGCAACTTGAAGGAGCTTAGCCCTGTGCGAGGCTTCTCAGAGAGGCCGGAGCTAAGTTTCACTAGGGGAAGAACTGAAGAGAAGAAAGAGAAGTTTGAAGGGTGGGTGCAGTGCGGTGAAGACGATGGTGAACCGGAGGACCTTTCTGTCGATGGCTCTAGCGTGGGCAGTGTAAACGATGAAGGCAGCTGTGCTGGAAGTAATATGGAAGGGTGGAATATTRCAAGATTATTCCAGGGTGAAGACTGCAATTGGATTATCTCATTCCCAAGACCACAAAGTGCGCAAGGTTTTTCAGAAGGGGAAAACCAGGAGAATCGGAAGCAGAGTAGGAATATGCTATCTAGGGGTGACCCARGGGTAGAGTGGAAAGATCACCAGGTTGACCAAAGGACAGAAGTACTTCCCAACCAACTCAGGAAGACAATTGGTTACCAACCTTTGGAACAAGAGAAGGAGGTCGGGAGCAGTCCTATTCTAGCTTGTCCWTCAGTCCCARGTAACCATGTGATTTCGGTTTGTGATACTAATGTGTCTCCTGTGTCTTTGGTTCCAGATTCTATTCCTGTACCATGTCCTGTAGCCCATGAATATGCAGCCGAACTAGTAGGTGGGCTCTCTGAGGAGGGGGAGAGGGGAAGGAAGGATTGTGGGAAGGTGCGGGAAGAAAGGTGTAGAAGTGGACAAGTGTGGGAAATCATTGAAAGACTGTTTAAGGATGTGGAAGGGCAACTGATATGGAGGAGGGAAGGGGAGGAAGGAAGAGAGGAGGGGTTAATGGAGAGGAGGGACAGGAATGAAGGTAGAGATGGAGAGGGTTACGAGGAGAAAGCAATGAAGGAGGGAGGTAACAGTAAGGGGAGGAAGGTTGGAGAGGAAAAAACTGAGGTGGGACTAGAGGAGAGGAAGGAAAGGCAGGTGAACAGAGATGAAGGGGATTCTGTAGGAAGGGTAGGGGTGGTGGAATCGGTGAGAGAAGACACGATAGCAGAATTTGTAGGGAAGTTGGGCTGTAGGCTGGAGGATTTGAACGAGTTGAAATAAAGCTTATAGAAGAGGAAGATGCAGATCATAACAAAGAAGAGGAGGTTGAGTGAAGTAGAGAGATTAAAGAGAAATGTAGACGGAGACAAGAAGCTCGAGGTAAAAGGAGATAAAAAGAAAGGGGGAAAGTAGCGGGTAGGTGGCAAGGGGTTTTTAAAGAAGTGGAATGAAGATTCTTAGTTGGAATGTGAGGGGAATTGGGAGTGCGAAGAAGAGAGCAACAATAAAAGAGGTAATAAGAYGGTATGACCCAGACATTGTGCTGTTGCAAGAGTCTAAGAGAATGGAGTTTAGTGACAAATGGGGCAAGGAGTGTATGGAAAGCCAGGGGGATTAGCTAGGTGGTGGCTCCATCGTGGGGTGCTTCCGGGGGGATTGTAACAATGTGGAAGAGGGATGTGGTTGAAGGGATGGAGGAGTTGATCGGAAAGTACTCGGTTTCCATGAAGTTTAAGTAGCAAGATGATGATTATATGTGGGTGCTCACAAATGTTTACGGACCGAATGATTACAGAGAGAGAAAGGAGCTGTGGGAGGAACTAGCTGATGTTAGAGGTTTGTTGGATGGGCCTTGGTGCATGGGTGGGGACTTCAATGTGATAAAGTTCTCGGAAGAGTCCAATAAGATTAACTAGAGGGTGACAAAAAGCATGAGGAAGTTTAACAGTTTTGTGGATGCCTTTGAGCTTAAAGATATTCCCCTAGCACATAAGGCATTTACATAGTCAAATATCCAATCTAGACCCATTTGCTCTAAGTTGGATAGATTCATGTTCTCTTTGGATTGGGAAGAACATTGGGGAACCTTRGATGCTAGAGCTCTCCCAAGGGTGACCTCGGATCACTGGCCCATAGTGTTATGCAAGGAGGAAA